CCCGGCCCCCCCCTTTCTTTTTTTTAAATTTTTTTTTTTTTTTTTTTTCCCATAGGGCATGTATGCCCTCCAGAAAGCAACAGAGTGGGAGAAACCACCCCGGGTGTCCACTCCCTAGTCCCTTTTCTACTCTCTTGCACACGCGCCTGGCACACTGCTTCTCCCTCCTTCTTGGACTTGGGGCCTGTTTGCACACGAGCTGGCGTGGTCTTAAGCCACGGTGCCTGAGACTCAAACCTACGCTTGGCCACGTGGGGCCCAGCTCTCTCATTCATGAGCCAGGCTGGGCCTTGCTGCCTTGCATGATGGCTGGTGACAGTGGACCCCAGCCCCTGCGGACACTGAACTGGGCAGGCGAGTGTCCAGGCCATGTTTCTGTCGTGTTCAGAGAACACCGCTTCCTCCATGTTCTTCGTGGTCTCGTCAGACACGTGTAATGCCTACCACATGGATGGCAGCAGCCTGAGTGCAGTCTGCGCAGACAGCGTCGCGTGACAGAGTTTGCTGTCGCCAGCTGCATTTTGGGGTTAATAGTCACTTACAAAGAGACCCTTTAGTTACCATCCCCGTCCACACCCACACGTCCTCCAGAGACCCAGGCCACACTCCAGGTGCAGTCCCTCTGCTCAGGGTGGTGACCAGCAGGCGGAGGCTCCCCATGGTCTCCACAGCCATGAGCGTTGTGTTTGCGCCCTGTGCTGAGCGCTAGCACCAGACGGCCCAGGCCGTCCGGGCTCTGTGCCTAGGAGACGGAGTCTGTGGTGAGGAGGGCAGGAGCTCGTAGACACGGCCACGCTTTGGACTGGACGTTGCCTTTCTGGTCAGGCAGCTGTGGCCATCACTCTCGGACCAGGGGCTTGGCCACTGGAGGAGGTTGAGTCAGCCCTGGCCACAGACACAGCTCCCTCTTTACAAGAAGAGACCAGAAAGCGCTTCCATAGAGAGCCCTGGCGGGCACCCGCTTGACCACTCGGCGCCTCGGCCAACGGGGGATGGCGGTCCTCAGCCCTCCAGATACGACACGTGTGGGCTGGGTGGCTGTAAGACCCCTTCGTAGTCCAGCACGCGGTTCTGCTCGGGAGGGACGCCCACCCCTCCACAGCACTGGCCTGCCAGCCACCCGCCCAGACTTCAGCAGCCCGACGGCTGTGGCCTGGCTCGCAGGGAGACCGGGAAGCCTTGTGCTCTGGCACCCCAGGGCATGCGAAAGCTGTCCCCAGGGAATCTTGTTGGAAGTAATTCACAGAAAACAAAAATCTATAAACACTTGCGAATTCCATGGACAGGTTTATAGATTCTTGGAGTTCTTTTCTGTTTTCTTTCCTTTTTGAGAGATTTTTGCTATAGGATGTGTTTGCTGCCCCCCAGTGGCGATGGCCACGCCACAGTCTCTTCTTCAGTCTCTTGGGATTTTGGGCATGCACACACATGCACCCGAACCGTGACTGACCATGTGGGAGTCCAGCTCCTTAACCACCCTCCTCCTGCTGGCCCTGGGTCTCTGGATTTTAGAAATGACCATGCCATCATCAGAACAGCAGTGGGGTGGAGGGGTTCCTAACGTCATCCACCCTTGGTCCTGTCTCCTCGTTCCTGTCTGCGTCTGCATTTAACGGAGGCCCGCATGGCACCACGTCTGACCTGATGTGGGTCCTCAGTCTCCTGGGTGGGGCCCCTCTCCAGCAGTCTCTCTTGCTGACTTCTGTTTAACTTGTATTTTTGTTACTTGGGTTATTCTATGTCTCCTACACGTGGGTCCAGCCCGTCCCATGGTGCTGCACGTGCCTGCCTTTGTGTGCTCCCTGTGAGTTTAGTGCAGAGGCCCTCGGACCGTCTTCCCTGGGGCTTGCTGTGTGAGACTGTCCATGTGATGCCGCGGACGTTGACTGGGGTGCAAGGCGCCTCCTCTTTCTGGATTCCAGCAAGTGCTGGTCACGGTGGCCTGGGAGTTCATTACGCAGAGTCATCTTGTCCTGGGATCTGTGTCCCAGGGTGGTGTCCACAGACCGTGTCCGACATGATGCCTGCTGTGGTCGGCCGGGGCTGCACACCTCAGAACGGAGTTCTGCATTGAGGCCCCTCCTGTATGGGAATTGTTTTTCTCAGCACTCTGCTGTGGAAATGGTGGCAGTCTGAGGTCCAGGAGTCGTGCTGACCGTGTGTCTGTCACTCGGAATGCCCTTTGTTGGGATGAACCCGAGGGGCCACAGTGTAGAGCAGGAGTCGCTCTCCGAGGCCTTGACGCCTTCTTTCCACGCACAGAGCCTTCTGGAAGACCCTTGCCCAGCCGTCCGCTCCACGGGGGTCCTCGGGGTTTGTAAAATAGCTTCCCGCTACTGGGATGTGATGCCTCCGGCCATCCTTGTTGACCTCCTGAAGAAAGTGACGGGGGAGCTGGCCTGGGACGCCAGCTCAGCCGATGTGCGCTGCGCCGTCTTTAAGGTGAGCGCTCCATGCCCTGTGGGTGGTGCTCCTCGGTGGGTGGCCGGGGGCGGGGCATGGAGGAGGAGGGGAAGGAGGGGACAGACCTCCGCTGTAGGGGTAGCACTGTCGACACGCGTGTTGGACACCCACAGTAAGGTTTATTTGATTGCCAGAGGACACGTGTGTTTGCACGTCTCTCACACACACACGGAACCCCCACAGGGGAGTACGGTCATGACACAATTTCTTCTCCATTTCTCCATCCTGTTGGGATTTGGGGTGTGCCCATGCGTCCAGGTGTTTTTCAACCTGCCAGGGCTGGGACTTGAACAGGCTGACCACATGGGATTCATTGCCCCATGTCTAGCATTTAATCACTGCAGCTGGGGCTGGAAAGAGCTCTGCTATGATTTTTAACTACACTTTCTGTCTCTCCCGAGAGTGAGAGTAGAGACAGCACCCCAGCAGGTCCTGGTGCTACGACCCCCAGCTCCAGCTGACCCTGGATTGTCCTGTGTCTGGCACACCAGGGTGGCCCCTGCCACACACCTCCCCTCCCACCGCCGGCCTTAGGGCACTGCGCTCCACTCACCCCGCCCACCGTGGTGTTGTCAAGAGCACCTTTAACTCATGGAGGTCTGGGCCGCACGTGAAGTCACATGGCCACCTGCATGTGCTGCCTCGGCTCCCTCCTTGTCCCCAACCACTATGAGACTTCTGAGCCTGGGCCCATGTCACGTAGCCTGTCACTTCTTGGTTCTCTGGGTGTCCACTTGGAGACCCTCGGCCTCCTCTTTCTCTTCCTCATCCATCTCCCTCTGCCTCCCCTCTGCCTCTGATCCCCCTCCTCTGTGAGGGACGCTCTTGCAGCTCGCCTTGTGTCCGGTTCGCCCAGGGCAGCTGGGCATCCGCTCTGAGACAACGAGCCCTGGGCGCAGGCTGGCGTCTGCACGGGCTGCTCCGAGACACCGAGCCCGGGGTGCAGGCCGGTGTCTGCACGGGCCGCTCTGAGACGCTGAGCCTTGGGTGCAGGCCGGCGTCTGCATGGGCCGCTCTGAGATGCCGAGACCGGGGTGCAGGCTGGCGTCTGCACGGGCTGCTGAGATGGAGGGCGTCCTGCAGTGTGGGCCAGGGCGCTCCTGGGGTCGGAACCCACGGAGGGGATGGGGAGCTGAGCTGTGGCTCACGGGAAGACCGGTCGGGCCCTGCAGGAGAGCCTTCACAGGTGTACGGCAGGCAGGGTGGGGGCATGCTGGAGGGAGGCCCTGCCTGGAGGAGTCCACTCCAGTCCTGGCAGCACAGGACAGTGAGGGAGCTTCCCCTGGGTCTCGGCCTGTGTCAGAGCAGCTACCTCGGCCTCCAGCACCAGTTTATGTTTTTTCCCAGACTGACTGCTACCCAAGAGGGTTACTGATGCTCGCTATCACCTGCTCCCATCTCCGCACCCTGCCGAGTGATCGGCAAGCCTCTGCCTTCCCTCCTCTCCTTCCTTCCGGGCCCCAGCTCCCGGGCTCCCTGCGTCCCTGGCTCCCTGACCCAGCCATGCATCCTGCTCCCCTTCCCCCCCGGACTGCAGGCCGGTGACCTCCGCTGAGAGTCCTCTGGGTTGTCTGTGAGGGTAATCAGTGAGTCCTAAGCTCGGCATCTGTAGAGCATGGCTGAGTTCGCAGCTGCTGGGGCTGCACCCCAGGTACGACAAACTGCATCCAGGGCAGGGGCGGAGGGGCTGATGGGAGTGTGAGCACCACAGAGCGGGCCCTCCCCACTTTCTGACTTCCTCCCTGTGGGCCTGAGGCAGGGGTGCACTTGACTGCCGCTCAGGTAGACAGGCCTGGCTCTCTGATCCACGTGGGCCCCGCCCCAGCAGCAGCCTGGGTTCAGGGCCTTTGCATCCTCGAAGTCCTGGGTGACATGGCCGAGCACCGTGGTCTGTTCCGTTGGGGTGGAAGGCGAGTGTGTTCGGAGATGAGAGCTCCTGTGGTTCTGTACGGAGGGGGCGGGACGGGTCAGCGGAAATGGCGCAGAGCCAGGAGGTGAGCAGGTGAGCTGGGGTGGGGGGCCTGGTCAGGCCATTGGAGATGGTGCAGAGCCAGGAGGTGAGCAGGTGAGCTGGGGGTCCTGGTCGGGTCAGTGGAGATGGCACAGAGCCAGGAGGTGAGCAGGTGAGCTGGGGTGGGGGTCCTGGTCGGGTCAGCAGAGATGGCGCAGAGCCAGGAGGTGAGCAGGTGAGCTGGGACCGCAGAGGCACCAAGGGGGCGGACAGCGGGGTCGGCGTGATGCGATGTGTGACAGTGCAGGGCTGGTGTAGCCTTGTGGTGTAGTGCGCACTGTCAGAGCCAGACAGCTGCCTCCCCGTCCCTGGAACGAGAGGGCGGCGGTTGGAGGGGTGCCGGGGCCCAGGCCTGCCAGGTGACCCTGACCCCAGCCTTCGTCCCGGAAGGAGCGAGGCTGCACGACACACACCAGGCTGGGTCAGTGCGTGTGGGAGTCCACGTGGGGGCCGCTCCCTGACGTGCGCGCCCGGTGTGCAGGAAACAGGACATGGAACAGCCGTCTCTGCAGTGGGCATTTCGTGCGAGGCTTTCGGAAGGTGTGCCTGACTAGCGGGTGGAGTGAAGACGGGCTGGCCGATCAGCCCGACTCCCGCCCTGACCTCCCTGCCGTGTGTCCCTCTCCTGCAGTGTCTCCCCATGGTCCTGGACAACAAGCTCAGCCACCCGCTGCTGGAGCAGCTCCTGCCCACACTCAGATACAGTCTCCACGACAACTCGGAAAAAGTGCGAGTGGCTTTTGTGGACCTGCTGCTGAAGGTCAAAGCAGCCAGGGCTGCTAAGGTACGTCCCCCGCTCTCCGCACGGGCACGCAGGCCGTGGCTCCACTGGCTGCAGAGTGGCTGTGATCCCTTTTCAAAGAACTTGTTAAGGGATCTTTGCCGAGGCGTGCCGTGAAGTTCTGTCTTGTGCCGCGAAGTTCTGTCTCGTGCCGCACACCGAAGGCTCCAGAGGTACCCTCCGTGTGTCAGGAGTGGTTCTAGTGTGGGGCGCGCTGTGGTTCTGTTCCGCCCCATTGGGAGCGGTTCTAGTTTGGGGCGCGCTGTGGTTCTGTTCCGCCCCATGGGGAGCGGTTCTAGTGCGGGGCCCGCTGTGGTTCTGTTCTGCCCCGTCGGGAGCGGGTGGTTCTGTTCTGCCCCATCGGGAGCGGTTCTAGGGCGGGGCGCGTCGTGGTCCTGTTCCGCCCTGTGGGGAGCAGTTCTAGCGCGGGGCGTGCTGTGGTTCTGTTGTGCCCTGTAGCTTTTGTCGAGGTTCCGGGGCCCGGGGGTGATGTTGATTCTGGTTAGAGCGCGCTCTGGCGCGGGCAGTGCCGGGAGAGCTGCCCTTGCAGCTCTGGCCCTGTCTGCCTCTCAGCTGCAGATGCTGCTGTCGCGTTCTTGACCGTGGACATGGTGTCGCTGTGGGTCTGCTTCCTGCCCACGAGAGTTCTTAGGGATTGTCTGACGTTTGCCGTGGCCCGGGGTCTGGAGGTCGGCAGACACCTGCCCCATCAGTGTGGTCAGCTGCACAGGTCTGCATTCCTACAGGGACATGGGGCCGGAAAGGCCAGGGCAGGCTCTGAACTGTGCGGGGACCTCGAAACCACGTCAGCGCTCATGCCTGGCAGCCGTGTGGTTGTTGCCGGCCTGTGACCGGGCCTGTGTCTGCACATGTGTCTTTGCTCGGAGACGTATGAATATCCAGGAGAAAACAAGGGCTAGTTTGTTTTCTGAGGTGAGGGTCGGCTGTGCAGCCCGGTGAGGGGAGCCCTGTCATCTCTGCATGTGACGACACATGGGACGCTGACCTCTTCTCCACTTCGAGCTCCAGAACAGCCCGGGAACGCTGACCTGCGTGGCGGGGCTCAGGTTGGACCCTGGCGTGTCACCGCAGGGCTTCACTGGAGGTTCCCGAGAGCACGGTGGCCCTCACTGGCCTCTGCTGGCCACCCGCCTTCACAGTGCAGCCCCGCCCTGGAGCACACCCCAGTGTGGGCTCCCCAGCCCTGCTGTCCTCGGGCTCTGTGGCCATCTCAGGTCCCTTGGACCTCACGTAATTGCTGGTCAGCAGGTCAGGCACCCAGGCCGGCCACAGTGTCACATCTCAGTTCCTCATCAGGACCCTGGTGTCCACCGTGGGCGTCGTGGAGTGTCGGTAATGGCAGCACAGCCCAGCACGTGTGGGGGTCTCCATGCGCTCGTGGCTGGCAGCTGTGACCCTGCAGGTCGGCCAGCAAGTGGTTCGGAGTGACGGCACGATCCCGCCCCGCCCTGAGACATTCTGACCCAGGCAAGAGGGGG